GGCAAAATGGAAACCAAAAAAGCGTGAAAGCTATTAAAACAGATGGTAAAAGGTATGTACTTTTACACAATTTGCACTATAAAATTTAAAACTAATATATTTTAGATACATTATATTACATGCTGGAAATGAAAATGGGTTTATTGAGGGTAGTGAAGCGACATTTTCTTCGAAAACAAAATTGAGCGATTACCACGGAGCGATGAACCAGGACAATTTTTTGAAATGGTTTCAACATCAGTTATTAGAAAAATTGGAGAGTCCATCTATGATTATACTGGATAACGCCCCTTATCACAGCATGATATTGAACAAAGTGCCCAACAATACATGGACAAAAAAAATATCCAAGACTGGTTGACAAATCAAAACATACCATTTTTAAACACAATGTTTAAAACAGAGCTATTGAGTATTGTTGCACGGTACATAATGCTTCTTAATTATATATATTTTGGTCGACAGTTTATATTTCTTTTGTTTATTCCTATTCTTAAAATAACTGCTTTTTTAGAAACAAACCACCTAAAATATACGTGATTGATGAATTGGCGGAACAACATGGGCACAAAGTTCTTCGTCTGCCTCCTTACCATTGTATATTTAACCCTATTGAGTTAATTTGGGGCATAGCAAAAGGTTACTATAACAGACATATTGGTAGAGATGGTAACAGTGAAAGAGACTGTTTGGATATGTGGAACGAGGCTCTACAAACGGTTACCCCAGACATGTGGAAAAATAGTGTTCGACATACTGAGCAAGAAATTTTTAAATGGTATGAAAGAGAACGAATTTTTGATCGACCAGACATCGAACCTTTAATAATCAACTTTGAGAGTGATGAAGATTCAGATTCAGACAGCGCTGAAGAAAGAAACTCCGACTAACTTTATTGTACAGAAAAAGCTTACACCAGTAGCTTACCTAATTTTAGAATGCATTTTTCTGTATGAATTCTGTAAAATAAATACCATGCATAAAATTTGGAGGACCCCATTTGGATTTTTATTCAGTACCTTTAAGCTATCAATTAAATATGGTAGTTTCATAGTGTCATCTGATCAATAATTGTCATACTTAATGATTATGCAAGTACAGATCTATAATTTTATCATACTATTATTTTTGTTCTCATTTGAGGTTAATATTGCTTATAAACCTAGATATGTAAATAATAAATTTTATTATTTTACAAAAAGTTTGGCAACAATGTAAATTTTTCAACACACCCACCTTGATGACGTGCACGCCACTTTGTTTGGCGTTGACTATACGTGCTTAGTTAACATCTTGTAGAAAAACCTACATAATGTCAAAAAAAAAACAACATAATATCAAAAAAAATCGGCATGATGTCACTTCCCAAGATACGTGATACCCGTGCCGAGCATCGGAAGCTGAGACGCACATTGCGTAATGGAAGCTGTTTGCGATAGAACTTCCAAGGAATTCGTACTAGCCAGCACATGTTGTTTCCGGTGACCACGTGCCTATGGCTGCTGCTAGAATATCTTCAGCAGCAGTTGAGTTTTTTTGACAACGCAATCGGGATCTTTAGATTGACATCAGATAGACGAGTAAAATATTATTCGTATTATTCATAGAAATTGACGACATTCATAAAAGATGCTAAATTAAAATTTTTAAAAAATGAAGTTTGTGAACTTCTTCGGGCAAAATGTGGCATTTCATAGAAAACATACAACATTCTCAAAAATGGCGAGAAATTCCCGCCGTACAAAAAGAAAACGGGGGATTTACAAAAAGCGATGAATTTTGTAAATATTTTTCCGAAATTGGTGAGAATGTGACAAAAGACATTTCAAATGAAACAACTTATACAGGGCGACTTCGAAGTTGAGTCATTTATTCTAACAGTGAGTAGATCTGATCAGAAGAAATGTTTTTTTTCCTTGAACATTTTTCTGGTAAAATTAAAGTAACAAAGTTATAGCCCTTCAGAAGTTTGAGTACCGCCCTGTCTCAATAATAATATTATGTGCTCGTGTTTGGCAACAACGGATATAATCCGCCTTATCGGTTCATCGCATCGGAAACAAAAAAGCGAAAGAATTTGAAACGCTTATCACGATGTTTTTACTACAATTTTATTCAGTTGTATTCAGTCAATGTGTCAGTCGGCCACGCGTGAGTGAATAGTGGTGTCTGTTGCGTGGCTCAAACAAAATAAAAAATGGCACATGTTTACGAACTTGTGGACATGATTCTTATTTAAGGGGGGGGGGGGTGGAGTCTTTACAAAATGTTGCCGCGGCATCACGGATTTATGCGGATCGGTTTCCCAATCGAGTGCAACCAACCCCTCGTGCCTTTGTTAATGTAGTACAAAGGGCTCGTGAATCAGGTGACTTAAGATCTCACAGGGGAGGGCATGCCGGTGCTCCAAGACCGCACGATCAAATACAGGTCCGCACTGAAATACTTGTCGGGCGGATACTTTATAAAACAAGGTAACATTTTTTTAATTTTTATTTTTATTTTTACACACATATTTTGGTTTATCTTCCTTCTACAATCATTATCTGAAAATTAATGACTCAACTTCAAAGTCACCCTACCCTGTATATACGAAAACCATATTGCAGAATTCCTTGTATCTGATACAGACCGATCAATACGAAATTGAACATATCATAAGCGACTGAAAGTTAAAAAATCACCTGAATTTGATAATATAACCGCATACACTCTGAAACAAATAAATTATAAACTTTCTAAAGTATTAGCATATCTTATAAACGCCTGCCTGGAAAGAGGAATGTTCCCGACCCAATTAAAAAAGGCAATAATAAAACCTGCAGTTAAATCTGGAGATAAACAGAAACCTTGTAATTATCGCCCAATTTCAGTATTGACAAACTTTTCACAAATTTTCGAAAAAATTCTTAAAAGACGCTCTTGAGATTTTATTGCAAAATACAACCTGATATCTGAAAAGCAATATGGATTCCAGGAAGCAAATTCGAGTCAAGATGCACTTATTCAGTTAACAACCAAAATTTACAAGTACGTTGATAATAATAACTCAGTTTTGTAGACCTAACCAAGGCATTCGATAGTATTAAACATCAAAAATTATTAAGAACCTTGCAAAATTTAGGGGTCACTTATCAACTCATGAAAAGTTATTTAGAAAACAAGACACAATGTGTGAACATCAACAGTACACCGAGTGAAAATATGATTGTTAGATGCGGAGTTCCACAAGGAACCGTATTCGGACCGATGCTGTTTAATTTATATATTAATGACCTCTTTAAGTTAAAAAAGGATGGAGAAATTACTGGTTTCGCAGACGATACGGCAACTATTTACTCAGACAAAGATTGGACTTGTTTAAAGAACGAAATTGTATTGGATTTTCAAAGGTTTACAGTTTTTTTCTCGGAAAGGATTTTAACAGTCAATTTCAACAAAACATACTTTATTACATTTTCTTGCGACAATAGATCCTCCCCAAATTTAAATCAACTCCAAATTAAAACGTTGAATAGCTGTAGAAACATATAATCGGTTGATAATTTCAAATACCTAGGGGTATTCATAGATAACCATGGAATAAACATATTGAAAATTTAGTAAGAAAATTAAGATACCTTATTCCGAAAGTCAAATATTTCAGCAGCGAAAAATATCTACACATGATATATCATGCTCTTATTCAATCATTACTGTCTTACAGGGTGACTTCGAAGTTGAGTCATTTATTTTAACAGTGAGTAGATCTGATCAAAAGAAATGTTTTTTCCTTTACCATTTTTCTGGTAAAATTAAAGTAACAAAGTTATAGCCCTTTGGAAGTTTGAGTACCGCCCTGTCTCAATAATAATATTATGTGCTCGTGTTTGGCAACAACGGATATAATCCGCCTTATCGGTTCATCGCATCGGAAACAAAAAAGCGAAAGAATTTGGAACGATGTTTTTACAATTATTTTATTCAGTTGTATACAGTCAGTGTCAGTCGGTAACGCGTGAGTGAATAGTGGTGTCTGTTGCGTGGCTCAAACGAAATCAAAAATGGCACATGTTTACGAAAATGCTGAACTTGTGGACATGATTCTTATTTACGCGGCATCACGGATTTATGCGGATCGGTTTCCCAATCGAGTGCAACCAACCCCTCGTGCCTTTGTTAAGGAATCAGGTTCACAAGGAAATAGCATTTGAGACAGTCAAGTGTGGAAGAGACGGGACGAATGATAAGCCCGCGACCAGGTGCATTGAGTACTGCATCGACAACGAGGGATGGCGACGAATCTTGGTGTCATTATTTTGAACCTTCCAGTAAGCTGTCATCGATGTATGGAAACGCGCAAATTCTCCGTCACCAAAGAAGTTTAAAGTTCATCCTTCTACAGGCAAGGTCATGTTAACATTTTTTTTCTCGACCATGAAGGACCATTACTTATAGAGCTTGAAGAATCTAGAGTCCATATCAACGCAAACCTGTATAACGAAACTTTGAACAAGCTCCATCAAGCAATAAGACGAACACGTCCAGGGAAGCTCTCACGTGATGTCATTCTTCTTCACGACAATGCTCGGCCTCATGTTGTCAGAGTAGTGAACAAAAATCTACAACGAAAGAAATGGCGGATATTAGAGCATCCACCCCATAGTAGCCGATTTATCGCCTCGAGATTTTCACATCCTTGGGCCACTGAAAAACCTTTTTCAGACGAACGAAGAAGTACAAAAGTACAAACAGCAGCCAAGAATTCTTTAAGCAGGGTACACATACACCGATTGGTGAAACAATGGGATATGTGCGTCAATTGTAGTGGTACTTAGTTGTAGATATATTTGCCAATACATTTTTTTTTTTGACCAAAGATGGGATTCAATTGAGCAAGCCTCGTCATTTTGAATGGATTCTTCATTGCGTTTAGTAATACAACCACTAAAATTCCTCATGTTCAGCAGAGTACACTTGGTATCCTGCACAAAAGTAGTGAGCAGCTGCGGTTGACACCTGTCAAATAATAATTGACATATAATTTGTAATACCAAGACGATATAAATTCCAATTTAAACGTAGTACAGCCTGGTTCAAACGAAACAATATTAAAGAAATGAGTTAAGCTCACAACTATTATTGGTGAGAGATCAACAACTATTGAATATTTTGGAAGAAAAAACCAAAAGCATAACTTATTTCGCCTGGAAAATTGAATGAGGTGAGGTGATCATGATTTATTGTTTCTTCAACAGTGTCGCAGCAAATACAGAGTCAAGCTACTTTTCGGGCTTGGCATTAGCAAATTTCCAGTGTTTTGGGAAGGTAAGTTATCTGGAAGAGGCTGCTGATTAGATGATATACAGCTCGTCAAGGGTAGGAAGTTATATGAGGATTTGCTGGGATTGCGCACACGAGATATTGAGAACGCATACGGAGCAAAAGAGATGGCACGTACAAAACGTTCCAATCGACGTCGAGTGGTACAGTCTGCGTCCTAAATTAATCGAATAATTTCAATAATGGAATACGTATTACAGTGGACCTCCGGTAATCCGACAAACATTATGCAGGGCAGTGTCGGACTATCGAATTTGTCGGATTATAGAGAACTGCCTAAGACTACCTATAGTCCGGAATTTTTTACAAAAGAGTACCTTGTAATCCGGCAAATTACATATCCAATGGTAAGATTATATATGCTATGTATATGTATGTATACTTATAAATCCGAACACCCAGTTTAAATGGTTTTATTTTAATAAAAGTTGGTGAATGTATTTATCTTGCTGTAAATAACAAGTGAAAAAATTTTCAGCCTTATCAGTTGGACATTCCGGTTTTTATACTGCTTTTTTTTTAATTCACTAACGCACTAAAAATGAATATTTCAGCCGCAGTAAAGAATCAACGTTGGCGGATTTTGGTTCTTGACATCCTTTACGATCGGTTACGATGCCTAGAGTACGGAGACCTGTACGTTTTCGTCAACTTAGTGAGTTTGATAGGGGCCGTATAGTGGGATTCCGGGAAGCTGGACTTTCTTTTCGGGCAATTGCAGTTAGAGTGCAAAGAAGTGTAGACACTGTGGTTAGGAGTTGTCAGGCATGGCTTCGAGAAGGCCGTACGCAAAGAGCAAGGAGCACTGGACGCCGCCGTAGAACAACAGACCGTGAAGATCGCCGCTTAAGATTATTGGCCTTAAGGGACCGTTACTCCACTACCAGGTCCATTGCAAATGAATGGTTTGCAGAACACGGAAGACCTATTGGCATGCGAAGTGTTTACCGACGAATGAGAAGTTTTGGCTTGTTTTCATACCGGCCACACTGGGTCCTCCCTTTAACTCGAGAACACCGACGTAATCGCCTTGAGTGGTGCAGACAACGGTCACTCTGGGATCAGGAATGGAACAGTATTGTCTTTAGTGACGAGTCTCGATTTTGTTTAGGCATGCACGATGGTCGTGCCAGGGTTAGAAGGCGACGTGGTGAAAGGAGGAATCCACAGTTTTTTGTTGAAAGACATGTTCATCACACTGTTGGAGTTATGATTTGGGGTACTATAGCTTAAGGTTCCAGGTCACCTTTAATCTTCATCAGAGGTAACATGAACGCGCAGCGTTATATCCACGAAGTTCTAGAACCCCAACTTTTACCCTATCTTGACACCCTGGCAGATCCAACTTTCCAACAAGATAATGCCCGACCACATGTTGCAAGAGTCACAATAGACTTCTTTCAACATAATGATATCACATTGTTACGATGGCCACCAAGATCTCCCGACTTATCCCCAATTGAGCACGTGTGGGATATGATGGGTAGGAGATTGCTCAATTTGCAACGTCCTCCTCAGACTCTAGAAGCACTTCGAGAGGAGTTGGTGGTTGCCTGGAATGAGATACCACAGGAGGACATTGACCACCTGATCAGAAGCATGCCTAGGCGCGTTGGAGATTGCGTAGCACATCAGGGTGCATCCACACATTATTAAAGGTCAAAGGGCTTTAAAGCAGTGCAATCATTTTGCATTTTTTATCATTTACTTATTATGCTTCATTAAGTACTTATACAAAATTTTATTAAAATAAAACCATTTAAACTGGGTGTTTGGATTAATATGTCACTTAGTATACATTCAAAGACATGTCGGATTACAGGGGGCGCCGGATTAGACATTGGCCGGATTATCGGGGATCCACTGTATGTGAAGCCTGCTTCTTTTAATCGAAATTGTTGGCATGTGTCAAATTTTTTAATATCTTTTTGTGAGCCCAATATTCTAAATTTCTATCTAAAGTTCTATCATTGTCAGCGTTAGATCGTCAATTCTAGGAGCACCCGATCTTAAGATATCATTGCCTGTAGTATTTCATGTGGCTCGATAGCTCTTAGAGAAAATTTGTTCATCGGGTTGAGTTTATGTTCATTATAAAATTGAGTTTGAGAGTATATAATATAAAATTAACGAATCTATATCATTAGGATATCTTAAAATACAATTGTACGTCCATCGGAAGCATTTAAAAATTTATATCTAAGAAAACAAGTTTTCTGTACTACTTTTTCAATATTTTCAAAATTGCATAATAACAGACGTTAGTTTTACAGAAACAGTTTCATGTTTCTACACCTGTTCGCTATCGACGAAAGGTTAAACATCGGATTTATGTGATTATTTATATAAATGAGATAAACATAGAAATAAGGAAACTAAAACAATTTATTCCATAAAATAAGTATTGCACGCTATGTAGCTATAAGACTGAAAATGATTGGTACTCAAAAAAACGAATATCTGATCCTAGGATTTTATTTAAGTATCGGATACCTTCTATCGGATACCAATACTTTGCACATCACTAGAGACTACGGCGAATTGAGCCGCTAGCTGTGACTTAACAAACCGATGCAGGAGGCTGCATGTTACTACATGTTGAGACATGTTCATGAGCGCATAGTAGCCGCTGGCAGCACGTCTGTTGATTTAGTTGTTCATTCGTATTGACAGTGCTTAGAAGAAATGACGATAGCATTAAAGAATGCTTGTCCTCATCGTACGACTATATTCAGGTGGTTTCAACCATTTTTTTAATTTCTTCCCACAGAAACAATGATAATACTCGGGTTTTTCTATGTTGTTAGTTTGTAGGAAATTGAGAGATACGTGGAAACCTAGAGTAATACCTTTATCTAAAGATACTGAGTTCGTAGCTAGATAAGTTCCGAATATATCAGAAAGATAAGTGATAAATGCATATGTGACTTGAACGCAAAAATGGCAACGTTCACGCCGCACACAGAAAAAGGTAAGTTGCTGAGAATCTTCATTACTCTCGGTAGTAGAGTGACCAGTCTCCCTTTTTAACGAGTATCCATTACGGTAGAATAACAATTGATTATCTAGTAATATTTCAAAATTCTCCATATCGAAAAATGTCACATATAGTTTATTCACTGCAACCAAGCAGTTACGACATATGTAGTAAATATGAATGCCAACCTTAATGTAAAATAGGTCCTAAATTGGTACGTATATTTGAATTTCCTGGGTACATTTATGTTGGTAACAGTTTTCTGTGTCTTGTCGCAAAGGTTGTCAGGTAATTACGGCAACGGCTGTTGTTTATTTGTGGTATATTTTCGTTCTTCTTGCCCCAATATTTGCATTGTTATTTAATAAAAACTAATTTTTTAAAAATTTTGAGGCGGCCTTTTTGCTAAAACGCCGAAACCTTTGACGCAATATTTTTTTTACAGTCCGTAAGAGAGGTATAAAGTAGTAAATAGAATTTATACTAGCTCTAGCGTTTAAAAAACATACGCTTTGTAATATTGTTTGTGGTAAGGCATCGAAGACAAAGATTTTGTAAAATGTCCTAGGACCTAGTAGTTTTAATTAATGTGGCAACCATGTTCGTCACTGTTATTATCAGTGAATAAACTATAAAGCATCCCACAAACCGGCGCGAAATAATCGCGGCGAAGTATTCGCAACGAAATTCAGAGCGAAATTCGCAATCTGTTTCGCCTGTTTATTCATACCAAAGCGTCTTATTCGCTCCGCGAACGTGAAGGTTTCGACATGTTGCGTACATTTTATTTTTGCCTTTTGCAATGAGCTCGTCTTCAATATGTTCAAATTCTTCGTGCGCTATTAATTCGGCTATTTTTAGTTTTATTCGGGCTTGACGCTTTAAGGGAAGTGTTTTCACAGTCTGTGCATGTGCCAAGAAAAGTGAATCAATGGCCTCGTTCTCTTTTTTAGGTTTTTTACCTTCAAAATAATCAATGAGCTGTTGTACAGACGAAGATGGTGGTTCATAGCGTTTTCTGCTCGTTTTATATTTTGGTGTAGTTGCAGTCTGCGGAAAGGTGTGCCCTGGAGTAGTCACTGCTGTAGTGTTCAATGAAGAAGGTGGTGCTGTCTGTGTTGCCGAGGCGTTCTGTGCATCTTCTGCATCTACATCAGCATTTTCATCTTCTCCATGGCCGCGGTCTTCCAAATTTTCGGTTTCTACATTTCCAGCCCTTTCCTGATATATATTTGAGTTAAATTCGGGTCTCATAATGTATTACGTCAATATCTTTCACATTAGACGACGTTTTGGCAAATGCCAAAAAAGGACGGAAAAATTCCATGTAGTCAGCCCACTGCCATTTCTTTATGTTGCCCACTGCTTGGCCGGTCTTTGGTTTGGTAGATTTTATATATTTTGCAAATGTGTCTCTGATATTCTTCCACCTTTTTTTTACTTCATCACCAAAAACGATTTTTTTTATAAATTCCTTGCCACTGGTGACACCTTCTATACCATTGGGCATAGCTTTCGAGTTGGCTTTACAACAGTGAGTGCAATCGTAACCGAAGTCTGTGAAGCGATATGCAGACATATGGAGCATATATATTTACCAGAACCAACAGAGAATATATGGAAAAAATGTGCTGAAAAATTTGAAAATAGTTGGGGATTTCCCAATTGCATTTTCAGCGTGGACGGTAAACATGTAACAATCAAGAGACCTAACAACAGTGGCTCCAATTACTGGTGCTATTTACATAAATATTCAATAGTACTTATGGCCATTGTTGGCCCGGACTATAAATTTATATGTGTTGATATTGGTGGTTTCGGAAAAAATAGTGATGGGGGTATTTTCGAAACCTCAAACATGGGAAAACGATTTGAACAAAATTTAATGAGTGTCCCTGCATCTAGATTTCTCCCTGGGCAAAATGAAATCTGCTCGTACGTCTTAATTGGTGATGAAGCATTTGCTTTAAAACCATACCTTATGAGACCATTTCCTTATAAGCAGACTTTAACAGACGTCAGAAAAGAGAAATACAATGTAAGACTTTGTCGAGCTAGAAGGGTCGTGAAAAATGCGTTTGGTATTTTGTCTCAAAAATGGCGAATATTTTACAGGTCATTAGAAACTAAAGTAGATACTACTATTCTAATTGTACGTACGGCATGTGTTTTACACATTTTTTTACGAAGTAAAAGTGGCGATGACAAATATTTTCAATTCTTAGATCCCCCAGAACCCGTACTTGGAGCTTTTACTGATATAGCAAATGATCCTCGGCGGGCAGCAAGGCTAGCATTTTCTACTCGTGACAAATTCGTAAATTATTTTAATTCTGATATACCTATGCCCAATATATAGAATGTTCGTTTTCACATTTGTGTAGACTGTAAATTATTTAACAAGTTAATAAAAAATATTAGGTACATACCATTTGTATTTAATTCTTTTCCTATTTCCATCCAAATCTTGTCTTTCTTTCTCACATTCCTGTATTCATCGTTCGACAAATCATACAAACAAGGATACTTTTTCATTATTTCTATCAATAATTCCGTTTTTGCCATTGCGAATTTTTGAAGAACGGCGTCAAAAACGCGGTCAAAGGCGAACTGAAATACGCCGCGATAAAAACGCTGGAACAATCGCATTCGCTTCTCACAAGTCTGAGCCTGTCGGTAAACCGGCGCGTTTTAATTTGATCGCGAATTCATCGCCGCGAAATTTTCGCAGCCAAAGCGAATATTTCGCGCCGGTTTGTGGGATGCTTAATTCTGACGGATCCATCACCACCAGGTAGACAGAGCCGTATTTCGTTTTGGCTTTTTGTACACTACGGATTCATTTTGTAGGGGAGACCGGGGCTATATGTCACAATTTTCAGTAATTCTTGTTTTTATTCGATCTGAAGCGTTATATGCACATATTTGGTGCCTAACTAATATGGTTTATCCTGTGGGAACACTATGTAAAATCGATAAGGCTGTAAAATAATTCACAATATTAAATTAAAATGTTTCAAAATACAGAAACAAATGTGACAACTTGCCCCTTGCTGGGGCTGGATGTCACATTGCTTGGGGTTGGTTAGATCATTAATAATTTATATCATACTTTTAAACATATTTATTATTACAAATAAGACATAAGACCTAAAGATTTGGTATTTAGATACCAAATCTTTATGAGAAAAAAGTAGAAGAGTTTTTTTTACAATTAGTCACTATCGCAGTTATGACATATGTAAAGTTCGCGTTCATCAGTGCACGCATCATGAGACCAACCATTACACGATGAGCATTTCACCAATTCTTCAATTGACGCGCTGTTAGAAAGTGGTTCAAGACAAATCAAGCAAAAATATTCTTCTCCATCAGTTTCATTATCTGAACAGGACCTTTTCTGGAACAAAAAGTCCCTTTTCACTGTTTCCCTGTTCCTCTTTTTCTTGTTCGTCTTTTACTGGAGTGTCAGTGAATATTGCAGTCCCTCGTTTACGACGGGAAACTCGATTCATTTTTCTTGCCGATGCCTTTGGATAAGGTCTCAAACTTTCTGGAAATACCATATTTCCCGCATGCAGCATTATTAAACTACTAGCGCAGGGATCATCAAAACTAGTTTGATTAGCTGTTTTGACCTCTCGTATATTATCTATTGCGTCCTGCGTATTACTATTTATCAGACTTACAGTTTCATCTTCGCTCAAGATGGTTGGATTTTTCCCAACTTCCTTTTCGTTTAAGGTTTCCGGGTTTGGTCCAGTTATTGCTTCGCTCAAGATACCCGGATCTGGCCTATCAGTGACAGCTCGCAAGAAAGTCATCATCCGTGAAAATATCTCTGTTGTAAGGGAACACACCCGACACCCGAAATCCAGACGGTATATTTTTGGGAGGGGGTATGCAATAGAGACCACTGAAGGTATGTCGTATATAGTCATGGTCTTACCGGGATTATTTAAAACCCAAGCATCGCAGGAAGTATTTACATATGTCTTAAAAGTGCCGAAAACGGCGCGGTCAAGAGTTTGAAGTTTATGTGAACAGTGAGGGTAAAAGAGAGCATGACAAGGCCATTTGCTTTGGTAAAATTCAGTCCTTCTATACTCAGATGTGATCCATGGTTATCTAGTAAAAGCAGGCACGGTCTTTCCACAGTACTTTTCACAAGAAGGTGAAAAAATCTAAGAAACTCTAAGAAATGTGACTCTTTCATCCAACCTGATGGGTTTGCTGAACCTTGTGAGCCAGGAGGAGCCGAATTTAAAAAATGTGGTTTGAAATGTACCCGTGGAAAAATGAAAAAACGAGGTATGGAATTTCCAATAGCTGATGCTGCACTTGCTAAAGTAACAAGAATTCCTCTTTCTGATGAAACTATCGAACCAACCTGTTTGAATCATCTTCTGGCAACAACGCGGGCGGGTCTTTGGATAGTTGTAATCCCAGGTTCATCATGTTCCAGATTTCGTGAGGCTCAAATTTATATTTTTCCATAACTGAAGGTAAATTATCAAAAAATGCGTTGACGTCCGTTTTATTGAAACTACTGGCTCTTGCTTAACTAGTTGCTTCCGGTTTGGTAATAGACAGTACAGGGTGACGTTTCAGAAACGCACTAAACCAGTCAGGACCAGCTATTTTATGGAGCTTCCCATTTTCAAGGAAATAGCATTAGCAAATTCATAAGCCAGTCCACGTACTTCCTTGGGTGATAATCCAAAATAAATCAGATGCTTTGAGTACATGTTCCGCTAGATGATTTTCAAGTTCAGGCTCAAATACTAAATGATTTTTGATGTAGCCAACTGAAATTGACGGCGCATCAAGTAATTCAGACTCTGGAATTGTCTTACAGTATTTTGCCAAAGTACGGTAATTTACATTAAAGTCAGCTACCTCTTTTCTTATTGAGGATCTTAATCTCACTAACCTAACAGCTCTTAAATGTACGTGAGGCGGCGCTTTGCCCTTCTCAGTCTTCCTTTTGAAATTTCGAATCATGCTTATGTAACCTGAAAATATTAAAAAAATACATTGTATACACATACCTACGTAGAATGATGTGCAAAGCTAGTCGTCTAGTGTGGGGGCTGGTTGTCACATGTGACTAGAGGCCTCCGCTAATTTGAGACAACCTGCCCCACTAGATAATTAATTTTTAAGGTTAGATAGCGTCACTAAATGAACAAATTCAAAGTCAATACTTACGTTAAGTCGTATTCGGATTATTGAAGAGCAAAATAAATTCAACAGTTCTTTTTATTATCAAATGTAGTCTTGAAAACACAAATTATGTGGCAAACGAAAAATTTACTCAGTTGTATATTTTTCTGCGTGCGACCTTAATCTACCAACGACAACTTTCGTACTGAATACAAGTGTTCTGCGCAGACGCGGAAACGATGTGTAGCGCGCGAGGCAACTACATCTTGCGGAGCTGCTCAGATTTAACAATTGTGACAACCAACCCGTGTGACAACCTGCCCCGGTCTCCCCTACTGACTAGCAACTCTTTTATTTAGAAAAAATTGCATACAAAAAAACGCCTCGCCTGTTTAGGACGGAAGGAGCTCAAAGAAACATATTTTTCGGCTGTGAACCAAGGCAACTTGCATCTAGTTACCGAATGCCTCCGAAGAGGTCAAGATCCCAACTCGATTCTGGACGATTCCGCAGCATTGCATATAGCTGCCGAGAAAGGCGATATAGGGCTGGGTTATATATTGACGGCGGACGAGAGGACTAACGTGGATATCAGGATGCCCTCTAACAGGTATTAGGCTCATCCCCCTCCCGAAAATGTGACAGCCTCCTGCTATTCCTCCACCCTTTCGATGACAGTTTGCTAACTCCTCGTAAAAAGCTCTTGCGGGCTGGTACCCACAAATGACGAATCAAACTGGTATGAAACGACAAGAAATCAGAGTAACGTGAAACTGACCTCCTAATGTCCCATACCGACGACGTCATATGGAGGTCGTCAATTAAGCGTCTTTAACTGGACGTGGAGGTGGCGTCTATTATTTATAATGAATAACCAGCCTTAGCTTCTTCAAAAAAGTAATTATGTACATTGCGGCACTGGCTCGTTGCGCTTTACCAGTTTATACGACGTTTGCGGTGGAAACAATAAGTTAATGTTCCACTGTATGAGCTGCATAATACAGGGTGTCCGCAAAGTTGGGGTTTTCCTTTACACGACGCGTAGATCTTGAAAACATAAGCAATTCTTCTTAGTACCATATACACCAATGTCTTAAGGGAACCGAGATAAAGGGCTCTGCAACATCAAAAATATCTGAATACCGTCCTGTAGCCGCGACATCACCGACTGGTACAAGGTCACTGACTCACCTTCAACCGACGGTTACGGTCACGCGTGTAGAGGTACACGAACCCGTATAATCGATTGCGTTTAAAAAAACAACAAGCACTAGAGACGTGGCTAGAGAAGTGCAAGTATCAAAAACGCTGCGTGAAGAGGGGCTGTATCCGTTTCACGTCCAACGTGTACAAGCCCTTCAACCTGACGATTTTCCAGCAAGAGTGCGGTTTTGTGAGTGGTTGTTGCATCAACATGACAATAATCCGGACTTTTTGAAGTGCATATTGGTGACAGACGAATCTACGTTCACGCGTAATGGGGTGAATAACTTTCGCACACTCATGTTTGGTCAGTAGAAAATCCGCACGCTGTCCGTCGGGCACATTTTCAACAAACATTTTCGGTGAATGTTTGGGCTGGCATGGTGAACGGTATGCTCATTGGACCATTTATTCTCCTAAATCGATTGGACGGGATGCAATACCTAGACTTTTTACGCAACATTTTGCCTTCCTTGTTAGAAGATGTGCCATTAAGTGTAAGACAATCAATGTGGTTTCTGCACGATGGTGCACCGCCCCATTTTAGACGCGAAGTGCGTGAGTTTTTGAATGAATTATTTCCGAATAGGTGGATCGGACGTAATGGACCCGTAGCGTGGCCTCCGCGATCTCCTGACTTAACACCATGTGATTTTTTTCTTTGGGGAGAAATGAAACGCTTAGTGTACAAAACGGAAGTGCATACGGTTGACGAACTTCGTCTCAGAATTGAACAAGCTTGTGCTTTCATTCGGGGGAGGGACTCCGTTCTCAAAGCCTGCACCGATGCTTGGCTACGTCGTGCACGCACCTGTGTTTTTGAATCAAACGGCGATAACTTCGAACAATACCTATAAAGTACGTTTACCTAAAAACTGAAAACGCGGCAACGCCGTCATATTTGTTACCTCTGTTCGTGGTCTGCACCACCGTTGGCGTCTGCTCGGTAGCGCATCAGCTGATTTCATTTTCTGTTGGAGCGGTATGATTTCGGACAGAGACGTACTTAGCCCTTCTCGTCAACTGGAGAGTGAGTACTTTTTCCTTTATTTTTTTTACTTGGTCGCCCTCGTTTCGCTACACATTACCTTTGTTATTTCAAGGGTAGTTGTTTCTGAAAAGGAAAACCCCAACTTTGCTACTACTACCCTGTATTACGAGCAACGGATGTGGTAATATACACAACATGCTAGGGAATTAAAGTCACGTTAGCCTGAAACTGTTTTCGGAATGGCTTATTTTTCTTTAGTTTTGGGAATACTCAGTACATGGAAGTTGACGTGGGCATCTTGTATAAATGTCAATTGTCACTCGATACAGCGTTGCCAGGTTGAACATTAAACATTTTAAAGAACAACTAAGACATTGACTGGCTACAGCGTGATGTATTTTATCTAAATGTTGATTCCAATAAATACATTTTTTCATACTCACTTTTAAAAATCATTAAATAGTGGGAACGTTCACTTTTTGGTTTAGGAAAAAAATACAAATGTTGTTTATTTGTTGATTTCAAGCTCCTTCAGCGTTCGTGGATTATCAGAATACAATTTCGACTTTAGATGACCCGACAAAAAATAATCGCATGGCGTGAGGTCGGGTGACCTAGGAGGCCAGTGAATGTCTCGAAACTTCGATATAACTTTTTGGGGAAAAAGTGCTTTCACCGTGTCCATCGATTCTCTGGAGGTATGGACAGTAGCCCCATCCCGTCAATGCATGTCCGTTTTTGTCTTCAAAGAAATACGGCCCAACAATACCGCTAGAAGATATGGCGCACCAAACAGTCACCTTTGGACTATCTAACTGTTGTTGATGTTCCTCTTTTGGGTTCCTTTCTTGCCGAGTATATGCAATTTTGCTTGTTGCATAGGAAAAAGATACAACATCCTTTCAGCACAATACGTAATCACTGTCTTTAAAGCATGGACTGATTGGATTTTAAAAGGATGAAAACCCATTCTTTTCTTTATTATGGCATGGAGTATTGACCTAGGGATTTCCAAAGCAGCGAAATGCTTCTGTTCAGAACGCCGAGGATTTGCAATGACCGAATCACTTACTGTTTGTTGTAACGTGTACAAAATTTTCGAAGGGCAGCTGCGTAAGAACCACTACTTTCAAAGTAAGCCTCAATAGCAAAAGCACGCTACGCTCCGGTCCAACGTTTCATTGTGACTATTTAACCCGCACGCGTCGATCATCTTTGAGTTGGTTTGAAATAATTATTTCTCTGATCGATGACTTGGAGAGATTGATTTTAGCTAAATAGAAATATCATAGACATAAAAATATATAAAATTGGAAAAACACGTCCTACAGCACACGTAGACACGTACACGTTTGGTAAACGTCATTACGACGACAATATTTGAAACAATTACGTCAGTTGACGAGTTATCACCAATTTTCGACGTCATTATGACGACCTTGAGCTATCTGGGTATCTAGCAGCCAAATAGATCATCCTATATTTTATCGCATATGGCATGAAGTTATGGAACACTCTGTATATATTAAAATGATTTCAAAATACGCACTAGTAACATATCAAGGTTAGTACGAAAGCAGACTTTTGATATGTCGTCCAGTTTTAGAGACAAGAACACAGTTTGTATCGAAGTTTGTTAATAGAGAGAGTCGTTAAATTTCAGTTCGAAGATTGTTTTGTATCATTTCTACCGACATCTAAACCAACAAATACATGTTAAGGGGACTTCGTTATAAAAAATTCACTTTCGAACCGACAATTTTCTTTTAATACCAAATCAAATTACGTAAGCTCCTGTGCAAAGCACTACCACACTAAAAGCTCACCCTGTATACGATCTTTTCTTAAAATCACCCAAACTAATGTGGCGTAACTACTAACCGTAAAATTTAAATTTTCTGATATCTTCTCAGACGAACACCTTCAATATGTAGGGCACTACCACACTAAAAGCTCACCCTGTATACGATCTTTTCTTAGAAGCACCCAAACAAAATTTGAATTTTCTGATATTTTTTCAGACGAACGCCTTTGATGTTGGCTACGCAGAACGAAAGACGAGAATTTGTACAATTCCTGATAAAACGTGGAGCAGATTCAAACTGCTCAGCACACAATGGTTATACCGCCCTTCATATTGCAGTAAAGATAAAGTGCTTCGGGATTGTATATGACTTAGTCAACTCTGGCGCTAATGTGAGACTTTTTTTAACTTCGTTTTTTCAAGTGTTTCTAACAAAAATTTTCTCGTAAAATTATCTTGGTCTTCGTCTTGGTGTAGCTGTTGTAAATATTGCCAGTCCATTAAAATAAACAGGTGGACAGTTGCAGATTGTACAATTTTTTATCTTGGGAATTTTTCCATGCATCTTTTTGATCTTTGAAGTATCATAAGAAAAAATGAATTTCTCAAATTTTATTAAAGTCGGCGATAACTCAAATTATTGAATTTTGAAAAAGTGCTGCATAAAGTGGAATTTATTTTCAGTGGCGTGCAGTAAAAATTTGCCACTTTGACATTATGAAATTTAAACCGAATTTATAAATTTTGCTATGAAATTAGACAGCTTAATGAACAAATCCAAGTTACTACTCTTAATATAGGGGTATATTCCAGTGGGGTGACTGCAAAAGCATTTTTTGGTAGAGTATTGCAGCACAGTCCTGCTGACACTGATCCTGCGACTTGCGATGATTGGGTGTGTATTATTTTTTATTTTCTCGAACAGACAAGAGCTGTTAACGTTTACCAGGAAACTCCAACGTCACTAGCTGCCATAGATTATCCCTCAGCGTCCATTGTCGGTTTCTTACTTAGGAAAGGAGGCCTTCTCTCGCAGAAGCAGGTGCCGATTTTAATTGGTAATTTAAATTTGTTTTAAAATAGTTAAAAGGTACAGTTACTTATCAGTGTTCATCATAGTTAAGTTTCCATATTAAAGAGATATGTTATTTTTAATACTGCTTGGCAGATAATGAGTCCGTTTATACTTATTCTCTATATGGATTTTAATTGGTAATTTAAATTTGTTTTAAAATAGTTAAAAGGTACAATTAGTTATCAGTGTGCAACATACTTAAGTTTCCATATTAAAGAGATACGTTATTTTTAATGCTGCTTGGCAGATAATGGGTCCGTTTATACTTTTTCTCTATATCAATTTTAATTGGTAATTTAAATTTGTTTTAAAATAGTTAAAAGGTACAATTAGTTATCAGTGTTCATCATAGTTAAGTTTCCATATTAAAGAGATATGTTATTTTTAATACTGCTTGGCAGATAATGGGACCGTTTATACTCATCCTCTATATGGATTTTAATTGGTAATTTAGATTTGTTTTAAAATAGTTAAAAGGTACAATTAGTTATCAGTGTTTATCATAGTTATGTTTCCATATTAAAGAGATATGTAATTTTTAATACTGCTTGGCAGATAATGGGTCCGTTTATACTTATTCTCTATGTGGATTTTGATTGGTAATTTAAATTTGTTTTAAAATAGTTAAAAGGTACAATTAGTTGTCAGTCTTCATCATCATATGATAAAGCGTGAATGTCTTTCAGTGGAACCGTCGAACCATGTGATCTCATCTTGGAAGACAAGGCTTACAATCCTGCAAATATTTAGAGGTCATTTTCAATAAGAAGGGAAATATCAAAGGTGAAATCAGGGAAAGACTAAACAAAGGCAGAGCAGTGACCCGTGTCTTGAACTCTCTGCTCTGGCAAAAAAACAACACGTCGAGAAACCAAAAATCACATTTACGGCAGTACAGCCACCCTTTACGGTTCGGAAGTATGGGACGTCACGAAAGCTAATAGAAACAAACTTATGAATACAGAAATGGATTGTTTGAGAGAATCAGTAACGAACAAATGAGAAACGAAATGAAAATGGAACGAAATATTAGTGAGGACATAGAAAGAAAGTAATTAACCTGGTTCGCACATACAGAAAGAATGTCAGGTGACAGATGTTCTAGAAGAATGCTGAAGTGGTCTTCCTGAAAGAAGAAAGAAAAGAAGACCACGGAGAAATTGGCGTAACGATATTGATGAAGTGATGGCTGCAAGAAACTTAGAAGAGGCAATATGCACATGACAGAAAAAGATGGAAATTGGGGACGGAGAGACGGCGACAACCGTAGTCAATATATATAGTTGTATTTGAGTTAAATTGGTAGTTGCTATTTCAAAACACAAAGTTGACCTCCAAATGACCTCTAAACTCATTGTCTAACACATATCTGAGGACTTCGATAAATTGATGATTTTACACCCTGGAACTTTTCTTAGAACATTTTTTCTAAAAAAATATGTGGTTTCCAAGTTTTCAGTATTTATTTATCATTGAAGTTTTGATTTTGATTTCTTAGATGCTTGTTTACACTGCAACACTTTGCCGCGGCTGAAAATAATAGAAAAATTACTGGAACACGGGACAGATGTTAATGTTGTACATCCGATAACAAAGATGACCTGTTTGCATACTGTTGGTATAACAGGATACATTCCACTTGCTGGACTTCTTATATATTACGGTCAGTCCTCAATTCTATTAAGGTGTTTATTTCTTTGCTTGCTAACAATAATAATATAGTTGTAGTCACTGTTCTTGGCGGGTCATATTAAGACTATCAGTATCCCTTTATAGGCCGACAGCTCGTGTTAAATTTACTAATGTATTTTCAGGATGAGAATAAGATCTGCCCATGGTACGGATACTCGATCTGTTTACTTATTTCATATGGCTTTGATGACGTAACCGCCATGAACGGCGACTACAGCTATAATAATAATAGCATCAGTTATGTACGATGAAAGAGTCATTACCGACCTTACAATCTCCTCTAACCGATCTGATACCATTTACCACAATAAAACACAGGACGCATGCTTGCTAATCGAGGTATCTGTGACAGACGACAACATCGTCACCATCAAAAAAACCGGAAAAGGCCAGGAGATATAAAGATAAAGTCCTTAAAATCGAAATATCGCGCATGTGGAAGACAAAGGCCGTGGTCAAGGACATCATAAAAATTCCGAATAAATACCTAGTTAGATTTCCGGTCAAGCTGATTCCTTCCTCCACCTGTTGGGCGAGTCTCCTACTCGCCAGAGCTCAATGGTCGATCTCTGCTTTTACGCGAACCACAACCGCACAAGCTGCTTGGCGGCGTCTGTGAGGTCCGTGACATTGGATCGCCTTCTAGATCGACGCGAAGTGACCTCCAATATTCTAGATGTCGCTTTGTGGTTCACCAGACCTTTCTCGAAGCAGCAATTGGGACTCTATATATAACTCGGGGGCCGGGGATGAAGACAGAGAGTACAGATTACACTAGAGCAGAGCGGAGTGGAGTATAGTGCAGTCAATGGCGACATAAGAATTAGTCAGACATAAATAGTGGTGTATATAAATGTTAAATAAACTAGTGCATTTCTTTTTGTGGAATCAAGTGTTTTAACACACCTAAAAGAACCCAGATGCTACAATAATAACAATAATAATAATAGCAGTCGCTCAGGATAGTGCAGAAGTATAATCAAGCTACTGGTATGGAATACTGAGGATTATAGGTAAAACGCTTATAGAATAATGACGTCTTGTGAAGAGGCATGGTTAACGTATTCACAATACGAATATCTCTTGAATGTGTACGGCCAGGAAATACTAGCTTGTTTCTTAAAAATGGTGGAAATGATGTGGTTAGAAATGTATGATTTACATGGACTATTTTAATCATGGTTAGAGGCCATTTTGATGATTATAGATAACCTATACTGCCATACTTTGATAAAAGACAGTCAAGTGTGAACATAGAGGTCGGAGAAAGTTGAGATACAAATTCTGGATTTTTTCGAACTAAATAAATAGTATTATTACGATAGAACAAAAGCGAATGATTATTGTAAAGTTACAGGGTTGTTTAAATGTGCGCTTCCGATAGCGCTACATTCTGATGAATGAGATCAATGAGAGATCGTGAGATGTTAACTGTTAACATTGTTTAAAGGAGGATCGCTGACTGCTACAGATGCAATGGGGAGAACACCGCAAGACGTGGCAGAGGTACACAGGCACTATGAATTGGTGCGTCTTTATCAAAAAATGGGACAGGGAAAAAGAAGAAAAGTGTTGTTCAAACGTTGAGTACTTTCCAACCGAAATTTTCGTCGATCGTAAACAAAATATACAACTATAACAAAACAAACGCTTTTTTACTGTCTCAGAATGTCAGGTGCATGCACACTAGTTGTCCCAGCCTATAATTTTATTACTTTAAAAAGGTTGCTCTTTATCATGAAGTGGCCTAAGTCAGTTTTCAATACTTTCAGAGTTATAGAAAAACAATATTAGACTTAAATTCCATGGGGGAGCTTAACACTTAAGTTACGCCACTTTTGTGAAATTATAAAATATACATATCATTTTACATCGTATGGCTTATTTAAGTTACGTCAGTTCGTAAAATTCTAGTTTTTACTTTATCACTATACGCACTGTGACGTATCTATCTTTTTAACTTCACCTTCAACACGAGTACAGCTTTTTCATATTAAAAAGCCAAAAACTTAAGTTAAAAGCGCCAAGAAAAATCACTACGAAAAATATGTATTTGAAGTCGCTGTGTGAAGGAGATATATCGTTAGTTCGTTTACAAGAATATCAAAGATCCTATTTAAATCTTCCTCATGAGTAATAGATGAAATACTAATTATTATTTTGTGCATCTTTAACAGATATTATTATATCATTATTATTTGATTGAGTCTTTTGCTTGTACCTTGATAATTAATTTTTATAGGGCGTTAAATAGTTTTAGATACCGCGTATACTTATTTTGCCATAATATTCACGGTTCACCATTTTGTCTTGTAATAGAACATTGTTTTGAAATTTCCTTAGTCTTTATTTTTCATCACTTAAATATAACACGTAGGTACCTAAGTCTTTATTCTATGAATTACGACCCTTTAATTTGACGTATCTACTTTTTTTGGAAATTTTGGACACAAAATGAAAAATGGGTTATACGTTGCTCATTTTTGAAAAGCTTGTAAACATGAGCAGATATACCCACAAATTCAATTATGTAGCAATCATACCTTTTTGTCAGCAACAACTCAAATCTCGTGAAAATATTTAAAACACTTATTCAATCAATAGAAGTCGAAGAACTAAAATTGTCAATACATTATCAAACATTAAAAACATTTCGGTAGGTGTGCCACAGTGTAGCAATTCTCTCTAGCTTTCAATGGACTTTGCCATCATCATCAGGCGCTGCAATTACAATGATAACAGTAGCAACAAAAGTGTAAAATGAATTTAAATTGAATCAACTTACAGTAGTATGTGAGGATGTTGCTAATTGTTGTTTTCGTATAGGATGAGGGAAACGTTCAGTAACATGGTGAGAGCTGGATACATGGTACAATGGTTAAAATTATATAAAATATGACAAGACAAGTTAAAGACAGATTAAAAATTATTTAGAAAACATTAGAGCATTACGTCGTGAAGCCACTTGATGATTGCACAAAATGGTGGTCATGGAATAATGAGTGAGATGAACCTTTGACAGAAGGCCGAAGGTTGTCAATGTCTGTGTTGAAAGATGGAACGAATTGTGGGCGTGTGCCAAAACGTTGCCAAATCACTTCAGATGATGTGATTTTCAGAATGTTATGTAAGAAATTGTTAAACCGACCAGAGGCAGTTGAATTAACTATATTTTAATTAATGGGAATTTTAAATTAACAATTATTAATAAATCGTGAGAAGAGAATTATTAGATTTTGAGTGGAATGAAATTTGTTGGTGGAATCGACCAAAACACAGATTATATTTATGACCACGTCTCAAGTCTCAAGTTATATATATATATATATATCTGTGTGTCAGTTTGAAAATGTTCAAAGGGAAATTGAAAAAATATCTCATAGAAAACCAGAATTCATAGTGATGTACTGTGTAATATGGATATTATGGACATTGTAGCATTAATGCTAAATAAATCTGAAACTAACAAACAAACAAACTATACGCACTGTGACGTATCTATTTATTTAACTTCACCTTCAACACGAATACAGCTTTTTCAGATTAAAAAGACAAAAACTTAAGTTAAAAGCGCCAAAAAAAAATCACTACGAAAAATATGTATTTGAAGTCGCTGTGTGGGGATCTCGGTTGGCCGCGTGGGTCAGAGATTTTGTGATTTTTTAAAAACCTTTGTGACTTTGTTTATTATAATTAGTATATTCGGAAAGCGCTTCATAAGTGAGGGTTGTCATATGCAGAACGCATTGCCGAGTGTGATACCACAAGTTGACTAATACACTCAATGGGGAGTCTAAGATTTGCAGTTGTGCAATTGTACTAAAAATACCCGCTTAAGGAGAATCTGTTTTTCCTTCCCCTTCTATAAATAGAATACCATCGGGACTTCAGAATTGTCGATAGATTATCTTTAGGCAGGACGAACGTTTTAAAAACGTGATGTTGGGTTTAATTACAAATGCGCTATTCTGAGCCTCCCCACAAAAACATAGCAATACTTTGCTTCTAATTTTAGACGAGCTTTTCAAGTCTCGTTTGTTAATGAAAATGCCGATTAAAATAGATTGATCAGGATAAAATTAAGTATAATGAATATTAATACATATTTTAGGAACTTCCTGGTCGAAATTATGTTTATTGACGAAGGTATTGGTGGTAAGGAGATATTTTCTAGGGTTAAAATTTTATGTAGAGAACCTGAAAGTCTTCAAGGACTTTTAATGATATCACGAAAGCTTTCGATCAGCTGTTTAATACTACTCTTTTGAGTAAACTTCCATCCTATGGCCTTTCAGAGAATCTACAGATCAACGACCTCTGTACGGTCTTTCCCAGTTGTACTAACCTTAGGCAGTCTTTATATAAACAAAGACGGAGTTAAGTTTAAATCAAGGATGGTTTACAGCAACTTATTTCGCAAATATTGACTGCAAAACCATAGTCATACTCAGAAGATAGGAATGCCCAATGTAGTATAATCATATTAGAAAATTTCCCCGAAATAATTGTAAAATCTGGTTTTATTTTAGCTAGCTGCTCACGGCGGTATTTAAAACATGGGCGTATAAAATGGGTAGGGGAGACTAGGGAGACTTGAGACAAAAAATGAATTTTGTTTTCTACACATTATATATATATATATATATATATAGGTGAAAAATTAAAGCTTCCGCCTTTTGTTGGGTACTTCGACAAAATTTAAGCAAAGAGGAC